CTAATTGTTTATATAGATGATATATTAATATGTTTTAATAGTAACGAAGAACATAGAAATCATTTAATCCAATTTATTAGAGAATATAAAAAAGAAGGAATTGTATTATCTAAAAAGAAATCTATAATAGAAAAACAAGATATAGACTTTTTTGGATTATCAATAGATGAAAGAGGATAAAATTACAGACTCATATATCTAAAAAGATAAATTTTTTTCAAATAAATTAGAATCCAACGAACAAATACAAAAAATTTTAGGATGTTTAAACTATGCAGAAAGATTTATTCAAAATCTTTCTAAGAAAAGATATAAAATTCAAGTTTTACTTAGAAAAATAAATACTGAATGATGGAATGAAGAACATAAAGAAATAGTTAAACCATTAAAAGAAAAATGCAAAAATTTATCAAAATTAAGATTACCAGATGAAAAAGATAATTTGATTATTAATACTGATGTCTTAGATACATATTTGGCAGCAATATTAAAAACAGATATAAATGAAATTTGTAGATATTCAAGTTGAACTTTTAACCAAACAAAAATAAATTATACAACTCATGAAAAAGAATTACTAGCAATTATTAGGGGAATAAAAAAGTTCTCATTATTTTTATTATCCAATAAATTTATTGTTGAAACTGATAATTTTCAAGTTGCAGGATTAGTCGGGAATAAATTACCATCAAAACCTCAATACAAAAGGCCCTATAGATGGTAAGTTTATTTAACATTTTATAATTTTGATATAGTACATATTTAAAAAGTTAATAATTTTCTTGCAGATTTTCTCAACAAGAAATATAGAATTTGCTGATGGATAAAACCAAGGTCATGGAATTATATCAATCTATCCTACATATACAAAAAAGGACAGATTTTCTTAAAGAAGAATCCGAATATATAAACTCTGGAGCAACCCAGATCTCAGATATGTTCAACTCAAATATAAAAATACTGTTGAATATAACTACTGAGCATCATAAATATGTCATAGAGCTCAAAAATCAAGTTGACGCTATTGCAACACAACTAAAAGATATACTGTCTGAGACAGATATACCAAAAAGCTCAGAAATGAATTTTCCAAACCAGACCAAACCAAACAGGGATAGTTAGAAGCAGCAGTGAACCCAAACGTGACAACATATCAACTGATAATAAAGGATATTCCATTTCAACCAGAAAAGTTATGATACATGGAGATAAAAGAAATACCAAAACAATCAGCATCATAGACCAAGAAGATAAAATCCCTTTTGATCCAAAAGAAAAAAAATATGCTGAAATAGTCAAAATTGCTTATAAAATAAAAATGAGTAATTTATAATTCATTTCTTCGGGAAATAACGTTTATCCTAAAATAACAGCCATGGAAGGAGGAGACCTTTCATTTATAAAAATTATGGCAGACTATGGATTCATGGATTTGATATATTCAGGAAAAGATTTGATTGAAATTTCGAAGTTTGATGACATATTCATTAAAGAAGTATCCAGATTTGCCAAGGGAATGAAAATATATTTGAAATTATATTCAATAAGTTTAGAATATGATGGAGTTGTTTATTATCCAGTTGAATACATAATCTCAATTGGATACGTTGCAGCCAATTTCCAAATTGATGTTACAGAAAATAATAGAAAAGTTCCGATAGTGACAAAATCATAGATAATACATAGAAGAGCACTTTGAATTAAAGTCATTTACAACATTGTCAAAAATTTGTTTGATAAAAAATTCTCATGCTTGTGCCAAAATGAAAATTGGATGTTGGTATCCAATGGAAGATATGGAAAATCAGAAATTTTAAAAGACTATATTACAAGATTCGATATACATCAATTTCCAGAATGTTCTATTACTATAAAAGAATTCTATCAGTTAAGTGAGTGCCCCAACTGCATATGAAGAAATGAAGGAAGTTGAAAATAATAGAGCACCTTTGACAAAGGTGTATGGAGAACAATAATACAGGTGCATGTGAGGACATTGAAGATAAAGAGCAATAATAGAAAAAGATGCTCTTTGGATAAAAAGTTGAAGCAACATAGGAAGATTTAGGCCCAAGAAGGAAGATAATGGAGAGGCAAGTGTGCCTTACTGATGTATTCAATGATGTAATAGTGTCTCAAAAACTTGTATAAATAGAGACATTGTTATAGAGAAAGATCATCTTATCTTGAAATCTCGAGTTATAAGTAATAGTTACTCAAAAAATCATTTCCAGTTTGAAAAACCAATTTTTCTAAAAATCCCTTTGTATCAAATAGAAGTATTGTATAAATTCTGATAGAAATAAAACTCCAATATTTTGATATGAATACGAGTTTCTAGATCTTTATTCCCATAGATTCTTGAAAGATATGATAAAAAGTTTCCTTCTTATTTTAACAAAAAGAAAGTTTTTCTTTAACAGAAGTTTAGAATTTTATTCTTTAGAAATTGATACAGTGAGAGCAAGTAGTTGAAATAGTAACAATTCCATGAAGGCAGGAGGCCGTTGAAGGAAGCAATTTAAAGATTCAAAACTCGAAAGTCACTCGATTCTAAGAATAAAAGTTCAGAGCAAATTTAAGGTAAAACTATTAAACTTTTGCTAAAATTAGAATGAATCTTTTTAAGATCTTGAAAAATTGTAGGGATTAATTGATGATTATGAATAAATGCCAGGATATACGATTGAAAGATTAGATAATCTATTAGAAAAAACAAAGAATATTATCTCTCAATTATAAAATATAAATTTACCATTTAAAGAATATAGCATTTTAATTAGAAAATATGAAATATATGTTGTAGATTATTCTTATTTATTAGATCATAGAATAGATTTATATTCAAATATTCAAAGTAGAAGATAAAATGTTTAAAATATTAGGATATATGTTGCAATAAAGAAAGAATTATTTCATTAAGAGTAATATAAACCTTTCAACAAAAAGAAATGGTGATAGGCCAAATAGAAAAATCTCCCCAGAAAAGGCCTCTGCATAACTTGTTTTGCACAAAAGGACCCTAACATATGACACTCATGTGAAATCATGACCCATTGAAATTAACATCCACTACTTGTGTCCCATCCACGGACCACACTAGTCCCTCGTCTTCCAATCCAACCGCTCATTGTTGTCGCCACCACCACTCATTATTCATTGAAGAATTTTATTTAAAGTTCAAAGCTTCAAAAAAAAAAAAAAAAAAGTATGCTGGGGTAAATTTAGAATTTTCTTATTTTCTTTTTCTTTTGTAAACATTTGTATCTTGAAATTAGGGTCCGTTTGATTGTAAAGATGGAATTTGGGTGAAAAGAAAACGAATTTTAGGGAATTGAATTGCCTAAAAATTATTTTTCTGGTAATTGTCAATTTATTGTGTTTGATTGGTATAATTTTCTACGTGGAAAATGTTGAAATAAAAAAAAAACAGAAGAAGAAGCTGGAATTCACTTTCCCACCATATAGGTGGGAAAACCAATTCCTTCAAATGCTAGAAAAGATGCGTGTGAGAAGAATGCCTGGAGAGTGAATTCCGTGAAATTATTTCACTATCAAACACCTATAATTTGTGGAAGATGGAAATGAAGTTCCATTTTTCATGGAACTTCTCCCTATCAAACAAGGCCTTAGAGCAATAATATTGAATTATTGAGAAGGGATTTGTGCGTCTTGCAATAACAAGGTCCAGCTAATGTTTGTCGAAAAGAGCTCTTTTGTGTCTTTTGGTCAAGTGTAAAAAAAAAAATTCCATTTTTAAATTTTTTAAAAATTGATAGAAATTTACAAAAACATAAGCATACATTGGGAAGGAGGAGAAGAAGGAGTTTAAAAATCACATTAAGAAAAAAGAAGAGTGTCTGAAAAAGTAATTTGAAAAAATTTGTTAAGGGAGTGTTTTCTGGTAATAAGGTGATTGGGTGAAAAAATTTTGGGAAAGATAAATAAGCCTTTTGTTTTTTCCCCCTACTTTTTAATTATTTTTATTTGAATTAATTAAATTTTAGGGTATTGTAGTTTTATTTTATTTGGGAAAAAAAAGGCTTACTTTTTAGAAGTCATTAGGCGTGGGCAAAAAAACCGCCAAACCACCCAAACCGCCAAACCAAACCGATTATTTGGTTTAGAGCAATCAAATGGTTTGGTTTTTTTGTAGACAAAAGCATGTTGGTTTGGTTTGGTCCATGGTTTGAATACCAAAACCGATAGTTAACCGTCTAACCCGCTATAGATTTAAACATTTTTTAGAAAAAAAAGAAAGAATGGGGACTCACAGGCGGAGTAGGACTGTAGAAGTCAAAATAAACATGGTAATCCACTAACCCTAAATCTCTCCAAGTCTCCAATCAAGCCTCAATTCCTCATTCCTCTCTAGACTCCAATCTTTCATGTTGCAATCCAAAAATTATCTCACAAGTTAATTCCAGGTTCCATCTCTGAGTTTCGACACCACAATTTGACCTCTACTCTGCTTGAAATCGCTGTTGCCTTTGAGCCTCTACGGATCGCAGCTTTCCATCCTCTGATGCCTAAATCTTATATTAATTTTCTATGGGAATAATTATAGTATCACTTTGTAATTCCGGATTTGTAATTTGTAATTTATAATTTTGTATTCCTCCTCTTTTTTGAATTGTGGTCGTTTTGAATCCGAATTATTGATTTCTTGTTCATTGTTTGCTGTCCATTTTTTATAAGTTACAATGCAATGTTATTTAAAAGTCCAAATCGAGACACCAAACCAAGCCAAACCAAATCGAATCAAACCGAAGTTGTTTGTGTTGGTTTAGTTTAAGAGTTAGAGTGGGTTGGTTTTGATTTTAATTTCACTCAAATCGACTACTTTGGTTTGGTTTTGGGTTGAGGTCGAAACCAACCGAAACCAAATCACGCCCAGGCCTAGAAGTCATCCATCGGCAAAGAAAACAATTTCGGCACTTAAACTTCTATTGAGGATGTTAATGCTAAGCTTGAAACTATAAGTACTGATTCCACGTGAGGGTCATACATTAGGGAAAATTGGTGCAAATAAGCAGCTCCCTATTTCCCTCTTTTTCACATTTACCTCCTCAAATCATATTCTCCCTCTAGAAACCTCGCTAAAACTCCAGTTGCAGCTTAAGCCCCCACAAATGGCGATAAGAGCAGCAGCGACCCAGGCGGCAGTGGCTTCCTTTGTGGCACCCAGGTGTGTGAGGGCTCTATATTCGTCGTTAACTTCAGGCTTTCCGTTCAATCTACCTCAGACTCAAACAGAGAAGCCTTCTCCGGCCGAACCTTCCACAAATCTCTTTGTTTCGGGTACATACCGCATCATCTTCTCCAAATGCCTTTCATTTCTCTAGATTTTTCCTTCATTCCCTTTGATTTAATGTAGCTTTTTACTTGGCGCTCTTAATTGCTATGTTGCCTAGTTATTCATCGGTTTAGTTTAGGGGGAAAAAAATCGATTGGATGTGAAAGATTTTAATTTTAATAATTCCGTTACGTTTTTATGGATTTTCTATTGAACAGGTAAGTTTACTGAGCATATTTATGAATTCACTTGTCGGTTAAGTCTAGTGGGTAGGTATTGGAATTTATAATTTCTGGGATATGACTAGGTCATTAAGAATGTAAGATTGGTGGGTTGTAGCTATCGTAGTTATCAATGATGTTTACATTTCCTTGATGTATTTAATCTCTCATCAATGCTTTAGAGAGCAATGCAAAAAGTGTTTTGCTATCTGGTAAAGCTTACTGATTGACTCGATTAAAGCATCCACCTCTGAAACGCACTGTACAAAACTGGATTGGTTCTTTTGATAGCTAGAAAATTGTTTCCATATTTTGATTGGAAGATGACCTGCACAACCATCTCTGCTTTAAGGCCATAATGCATGAGGTTGCATTAGTATGATCCTGTGAATAAGTGTTTAAGATGTTCTACTTGAAGTGTCAAACATTTTATTTTTGACTGGTCAGTGTTTAGAAAGCCTAAAGCATTTTTCCACATAACTTTCCAACATAAACAATTAATTCAAAAAATTTGCGAATGTACAAAATTTTGCTCTTGATAACTATACAAAAGTTTTAAAAATTACCAATATGAAAAACTACATTAATAAAACAGCAGATAACGAGTTTTTGAATGGTAATCACATATCAATTTAGTAATATACTACTAGAAGTAGCTATAATCTAGAAGTCTCCCATATAATCATTACTATCATCCTCTACTATCAATTATTTCTCATTCTCTCCGATCAACCTCCACTTGAAATGGAGTTTTCCACTTCTACGTCAAGGTAGGAAAAAAGAAATGCATAAAAACTTTCTAGACTTTAACTAGCCGAAACAGTGTGGCTAATGAGGAAAAAGCCTAGAAAAGGCAAGACAATCAAGTTCACATCTTAGTCACTGTGAGGCTTACCCTCGAGGTGGAAGACTGAATAAGTCAAGATATAATCCTTGAAAAATAGCACTCAAGGCATTCAATGAAAGCAAGCTTTGCATGAAGCGCACCTCAAGGAGGAAGCCTTAGATGACATTTAAAACAATGGACCTAAGATTTGGAATTTTCCAGCAACATTACATGTTGAAAGGCAGCGTTTAACTATTTATTTGGATGAACTTTCTTTATTCGGAGAAGAAACTTCTATAAACAATAGGTAATGATTGGGAGTGTATCTGTAAATGATTTTCTCTTCATCTCTATTCATCGTCTTCTTCTACTCCTTTTGGTAGATGTAACTGTACTGGCCAGTGTCTGGTACAGGAGGAAAAATCATCTTAACTTATATTGACTCAATTAGCATCTGTTTCTTTCCCCCATTTCCTGCCATCATGAAATTTTCCCTGATGGTTGATGTTATCTTCGCTGGCAGCCTAAAAAGTAAAGTGAAAGGAGGCCGCTGCTAACTTGAGTAGTATGAAAAGATATATTGTACTTTTTGGAAAAGCTAGTTCTTAATTGTATGCTTGTCATTTCAGTCAGTGTTGCTTTCCCCATACTTCAGTGGAAGCTGCTTCTGGTGACAAAGACATGCCCCCTTTTTCCATTTTTACTAAATGGAAATTGCTTAAATTTAACTTTTCATAGAGAAATCAAGATGAGGTATTGCATCTTTGCAAAACCAGTAAACCCCAATGTGCTCTGGGCATATTTCTCTGTCTCATGTATTCATTTTGCTGCTTGCATTTTTAATTATAAAATGTCGTTACTGTTAGACCTCTAGGTAAAGTTGTATTCTTTGGTCTTCAAGGCTGTAGGCCTGTCTGCAAGTTTCATGGACCTTTTTTTAACTGCATTTTGTTCAGGACTAAGCAAACGCACAACTACTGAAGGGCTTCGAGATGCCTTTGCAAAGTTTGGTGAAGTGCTCCATGGTATGTTCCGTTTTCAGTTCTTTTGAAGCTTAGACCTATGTTCTTTTCACACCAAATAATGAATTCATGTTTTTTTTCCCTCTTTTGCAGCTAAGGTTGTGACTGACCGTGTATCTGGCTATTCCAAAGGTTATGGTTTTGTAAGATATGCTACTCTAGAGGAAGCTGCAGCTGGTATAAAGGGCATGGATGGCCAGGTGAGTTGAAATGGCTTAACGGATACCTTCTAGATTGACGCCGGGTAGGATAGTAATTATTCTATTGGCTTGTTGTAGCAGATGATTCGCAAGAAAAGAACGACAGAAAACGCCGAAAAAAATCGAGAAAATACTCTGAATTCAACTCAATATTGTTAATAATGCAGAATGATGAAAACTAACCCACAAGCCGGGTTAAATAACTGCGAAATACGAAATTATGGGAAAATTACCAAAAATGGCAAAATCCTAAAATTATACCAAAATAAAATATTAAGTAAAAGAAGTAAGTTGCCAAAAATTGGGCTCAATTCGAGTTTTCTAACGTATGGAAAAAAGGAAACGAAATATTACCATAAATAGTAAAAAAAAAACTTAAAATTGAATTTTGAAAAGGAAAACAGTGGATTTTGGGCTCGAAATTGACGTCCACCGAGCATAGGTTGGTGGCCACGACGTGCGCGCCGAAGAGAGCTTTCCGAATTGGGGTCATAATAGCGATTTCGATAACCGTAGTCAAAGTTATGGCAAAATTACCAAAGACGCGTCAAATTCTCCCAATTAAGGAAATAATGGTGATTCACTTTCCATCTTTGCGCCGATCCGCCATCTCATGGTATCTCAGCGCCATCATCGTGCTATCTGACAAATTAGCATCACTCGACTCGGATCCTCCTGCATCAGTCGCCCCGAGTTGGAAAGAACTTGCCCTCGAGTTCACAGTAACTTCATCGGACTCCATAAAATAAGGGTTTAGGTGTTTTACGTTGTAGACGTTAGAGGTCTTCAAATGGCTCGGGAGGCGCAATCTGTAAGCATTATCATTGATCTTCTGCAGCACTTTACAAGGTCCAATCTTTCGCTCCTTTAGCTTATTGTATTCCCCAGCTGGAAAACGATCACGAGTTAATACTGTCCAAACAAAATCACCTACATTAAACAACACCTGGCGTCGATGACTATCTGCATGAGCTTTGTACTTAGTATTACTTTCCTGTATGGACAGCTTCACTTGCTCATGGACACCTCGAAGATGTTCAGCCATCTCATCAGCTTTGTTATTGAAGCGACCCACACGGGGAATTGGAGCCAAATCAAGTACTCCGGAGGGGTTTCGACCATAGACAATTTCAAAAGGACTCAGTCCGGTGGTTCTATTCCTCGACCGGTTATAAGCAAACTCTGCTTGAGGTAATGCCAAATCCCACTGCTTCAGTTTAGTCCCGGCTAAGCTTCTCAAAAGATTTCCCAAACTCCGATTCACCACCTCAATCTGACCATCTGTTTGGGGATGGTATGCGCTGCTAAAATTCAATTTCGTTCCAAGTTTCTCCCACAAACTCCTCCAGAAATGACTCATATACTTAGTGTCACGATCAGAAGTAGTTGACTGTGGAACACCATGTAAACGCACAATTTCTCTGAAATAAAGATGAGCAATCCGAGTAGCATCCATTGTCTTCCGGCAAGCCACAAAATGAGCCATCTTTGAAAATCTGTCAACCACAAGAATGAATCCATCGCCCACCGTGTACGAGGTAAGCCCAAGAAAAAATCCATACTGACATCAAACCAAGAAGCTTCAGGTACGGGTAATGGTGTGTACAATCCAGCATTAGTAAGAGCCCCTTTAGACCGCCGACATACATAACACCGCTCTACATAATGCGCCACATCACTGCTCAACTTGGGCCAGTAATAATCAGAAGAGACCAATGCCAATGTCTTGTCTCGCCCAAAATGTCCTCCGTTATGAAGTTCACTAATAATCTGCTGCCTTAGTGAACAATCCGGAATGCATAACTGTAATCCACGAAATAGGTAACCATTATGTAAAACAAAATCATGTTGGTGATTATCGGTTACCTCTCGAATTATCTTCCCAAATGAAGGATCCGCAGCATACATATCAGGAAATGCCTCAAATCCGACAATCTTGGTGCTCATGGTGGTGAGAAGTAATGTGCGACGGCTCAATACATCTGCTACTCGATTCAAACTCCCTGCTTGATGCCTGAGTGCGAAAGTAAACTCCTGCAAGTACGCCACCCACTTTGCATGTCGCCTACTCAGCTTGTGCTGACCATTGATGTACTTCAAAGTCTCATGATCAGTAACAAGGATGAACTCCCTCTGTATCAGGTAATGGCGCCAATGCTTCAGAATCTGAACTATGGCATAGAACTCCAGGTCATAAGTGGAATAAATTTTCTTCGATCCCGATAGCTTCTCACTAAAAAAGGCTACTTGACGTCCCTCCTGACTCAGAACACCACCAATGCCAACTCCAGACGCATAAAGCTTACCTCGAACACCTTTTCAAAATTCGGAAGTGCCAAGACTGGGGCCTCCGTCATCTTCTGCTTAACCAACTGAAAGCTAGTCTTTGCCTCCTTAGTCCACTGAAAATCACGCCCTTTAAGGCACTCTGTGATAGGAGCAATCAAGGTACTAAAGTTTCTGATGAATCGAGGATAGAAGGATGCCAATCCATGGAAACTCCTGACATCGTGCAAAGTTTTTGGTTTCGGCCAATTCAAAACTGCCTCAATTTTGGATTGATCTGCATGAACACCATCAGTAGACACAACAAAACCCAAAAAAGTTATAGAAGTTGTGAAGAAAGAACACTTATTCTGATTGATGAATAAGCGCTCCGTCCTCATTACGTCAAAGACAGCACGAAGATGATTAAAATGTGACTCCCATGTCAGACTATAAATAAGTATGTCATTAAAATAAACTACTACAAACTTCCCCATGAAAGGCCGTAAAACCTGATGCATAAACCTCATAAAAGTGCTGGGTGCGTTGGATAGTCCAAAGGGCATGACCATCCACTCGTACAACCCATGCTGTGTCTTGAACGTGGTCTTTCACTCATCTCCAGGTCTGATTCTGATATGGTGGTATCCACTTTTAAGGTCAATTTTTGAGAAGACCTTAGAACCGGACAATTGATCCAACATGTCGTCCAGACGGGGAATTGGAAACCTCTATTTCACTGTAATCCTGTTAATTGCCCTGCTGTCAACACACATACGCCATGACCCATCTTTCTTCGGCACTAGGAGAGCAGGAACTGCATAAGGGCTCGTACTCTCAAGAATGTAGCCCCTTTCCAATAATTCTACCACCTGTCGCTGCAACTCTTCAGCTTCCTTGGGACTGAGACGATATGCTTGTCGGTTTGGTAGACTCGACCCCGGAATGAGGTCGATCTGATGTTGAATGTCCCTCATAGGTGGTTGTCCTGGAGGAAGATCCTCGGGCATCAAGTCAGAAAACTCCCTCAGTAGTTGCTGTACTTCTGCTGGAAATTCTGAATCCACATTCGCTGTACTATTTTCACGAGGCATTAAAGCATAAACTATTTTTTCACGCCCAACCTCAACCAAGAACCTGGACATCGAAAGTAGATTGGGGTTTTTAACTACCGGGGCAGGGAAGTTTCCTTCCCTGCGAGGCACCAAAACAATTCTCTTCCCTTTGATGCTAAGAGAATAAGTATTCTTCCGCCCATCATGGATAACACTGCGATCATACTGTCAAGGTCGTCCCAACAAAACATGACACACGTCCATTGATACCACATCACACCAAGTATTATCAAAATATTTTTTTCCAATCAAGAAAGACACTAAGCATCGTTTTTCTACCGTTAGCTCACTGCCTTTATTCAGCCAAGACAACTTGTATTGTTTGGGATGACGATCCATTTTCAGTTGCAGTTTCTCGATAGCCTCCTCAGACACTACATTCTCACAACTACCACTATCAATTATCAGTTTACAGACTTTATCAGCAGCTGTACAGGTTGTGTGGAAAACGTTAGTCCTCAACCAATCATCCCCTAAGTCATCTTTGGGAGTCAGCAGGCTCTTTCGAACGACTAGGGTCTCCTGACCGTCTCCATATAGCACGTCCTCATCTTCACCCTCATCATACTCGGGTTCCCCAACTTCCTCAAACTCCTCTGTCATATCCTCCTCAATCAGAAGATTTTTATTCTTCTGACCAGCAGGCTTCCTGAATCAGTCGCCCTATGCCCCTGTTCATCACACCTAAAGCACTTAATACTTGAGCTAGAACTATCCCGCTGTGGCTGATAAGCAGGACGAGATTCTTGAGGGCGAACTGGCTGACTTCCTTCACCTCTGACCACTGGCCTCCTACTTTGCTGTTTCTCTACTGCAAGTGCTCGCTGATATGCCTCAGAAACTGTCCACAATGAATGAAGGCTGAGAACATCCTGCAGGGGCTGCCTTAATCCCCCCAAATACCGTGCTACCATTTGCTCCTCCGTCTCAGATAAATCATTTCGAGCCACCAACTGATAGAATTTTTCAGTATAATCATTGACTGATCTTGCGCCTTGCCTTAGTGAATGAAGCCTCTGAAATAAGGTTTGAGTGTAGCCAAAAGGGAGGAAGTGCCCTTTCATCTTCTTCTTCATCTTCTCCCAGTTAGTAATTTTGGATTTCCCCTGTCGCTCCCGTGAACGCTTCAACTGTTCCCAACATGCAAATGTCCTACCTTTGAGTTTGATGGCGACCAGTTTCACTTTGACACGATCTGGAACCTCCTTATATTCAAAAATCCGCTCCACTTCATTCAGCCAATTTATAAATCCTTCAGCCTGCAACGTACCAGAAAACTCAGGCAGATCCACTCTGAAACCGAGATTCACATGACGATCCTCCCGTTCACGATGCTCCCAAACTCAAGCACGATGGTGATACGAGTTTTCGAAACTGGTATCGAATCGTGACCTTCTACATCATGATTACCGAACTCTTGCTCCGCCAAACGTTGGGTTAACTCCGCAACTTGTCTCTGCAAATCTTCAATCGTCACATCCTGAATATTACGATCACGGTGTTGGACTTCTTCAATCGGAACTTGTCCTCGACGACCACGACCACGACCACGTCCACCAACCATTATAATTGATGAAATTTATCTCCCAAGAAGATGCTGATGCTCTGATACCAACTGACGCCGGGTAGGATAGTGATTATCCTATTGACTTGTTGTAGCAGATGATTCGCAAGAAAAGAACGACAAAAAACGTCGAAAAAAACAGAGAAAATACTCTGAATTCAACTCAATATTATTAATAATGCAGAATGATGAAAACTAACCCACAAGCATGGTTAAATAGCTGCGAAATACGAAATTATGGAAAAATTACCAATAATGACAAAATCCCAAAATTATACCAAAATAAAATATTAAGTAAAAAAAGTAAGCTGCCAAAAATTTGGCTCAATTCGAGTTTTCTAACATATGGAAAAAAGGAAACAAAATATTACCATAAATAGTAAAAAATAACTTAAAATTGAATTTTGGAAAAGAAAACAGTGGATTTTGGGCTCGAAATTGACGTCCATCGAGCATAGCTTGGCGACCACGATGTGCGTGCCGAAGAGAGCTTTCCGAATTGGGGTTATAATAGCGATTTCGATAACCGTAGTCAAAGTTATGGCCAAATTACCGAAGACGCGTCAAATTCTCCCAATTAAGGAAATAATGGTGATTCACTTTCCATCTTTGCGCCGATCCGCCATCTCATGGTATCTCAGCGCCATCATCGTGCTATCTGACAAATCAGCATCACTCGACTCGGATCCTCCTGCATCATAGATCTAGTGAATAAAAAACTTCTTCTGATCTTTAATGCACCTTTTGGCTCCACTCTCTGTTTGGAAGGAGATAGTGAGAGGGGAATTGTGTAAAGGGTGTGGGTAGAAAAGTGGGATTGTTTTTCACTTTTGGAAGAATAGAAAGAAGGGATTGTGTCTTTCACTTTTGGAAGAATAGAAAGAGCATCATTCACTTTTGGGTTGTTTTTTCTTGTCCTCTTCACTTTACTTTTACAAAGTTGGAAAGAAGTTACAGTTTGGAAGGTTGGGTAATGTTTTATTCCTACCCTGAATTATATGCAGCATTCAATATCTTCAAACGGCGGACTTCTTCCTTTCCTCGTAGTTTTCTTTGACCCTTACCTAATTAGAGAGGGAACAAAATATTTCCTATGACCATGATCATCTCCCAGCTTTTCATTTTTTGAAGTTAATATATCTTCCTCTTAAGGCCTTTCTCCATGGAACTATAATTATCTATTAAGATTTTCAGTTTTATCTTAAAATGTCAATTTTATTAAAAGTAGTAGTCTAATTATAAATTGGTCTATATTTTCATCTTTATATGATATGGGATTTATCCTTTAACATGCTCCTACAAGATGGTGACTCATTTGAGCAGATCAATCTTGAAATTTGTGTACTCGTTTTTATGATTTTTAATCGGATCGAATTGCAAGTCGGAGTTAAATGGGTCCTATTTCATATTAAGACTTGGGTTTTATCTTAAAATGTCAACTTTATTAAGAGGTGAATCTCAAATCCTTATAAACTAACCTTAGTGGCCTTTAAAGATGGAACACGACCTGATATTATGTAGTGCATGTGTGGTGATTAACTTCATCTTGATGGTCGATATATGCTAATGAAGTACTTGGGTAACTTATTTAGTGGTAAAATGTTTGGATTAGAAACCACGTTGTGCATATGTATGTGTCCATGTTCTGCACATCTTTGTGAAGTTAGATATGTAGTAAATCTGACCCTTGTAATCCCTGCATGACAAGGACCAAACTGAATGGGGTCGATTTAACATTTTCGCTGTGGTGATGGGTTGGTATGTTAGTTGAGCATGCCAGTGCAATTCTCTGTCCCTTTTTTTATTTTTATTTTTTTGGGGGTGACGGAAAAAGGTACCTTGGTTCCATATTTTGAATCATGAGTATTCCATGTTTTTCTTTGTAGTTTCTTGATGGATGGGTTATTTTTGCGGAGTATGCGAGGCCAAGACCACCTCCTCCATATTTGAATAATGCACCTACATTCAACCAGAGCTGATTGGAAGAAAGGTCCACTGGTCGAAATATGCCATTCTTTTTATCAAATGGAGCGGTTAAATAACAAGTGGTGTCCTTTCTGTAGTTAGTTATTCAGAAGATAGATTAAGGTGCACCATCTTAACTGTCTATGCTTGTCAATTAAGTGGAACATTTTTGTATGGACAAATATAACAAAACTAGTCTTTGCCTGTGCATTATCTTTTGGGTTTTCATTCAGGTTCTCAACCTTGGTAATAATCTAATCAAATTCATAGTTCAAAACGTTATTTACTTCCATTGGCTTTTCCTCTACAGGTTGCTCCCTCTGTTGAGGTTGTAGCACCTTTCCCTCCTGGTACAACTTCATAGCCCGCATAAAATGTAGTGTTCGACTCTTGTAAGTTCATCTTATCACGTTGCGCACCTAACCGCTTTGCAACAACAATTCCTTTGCCATTGAAGCCAAGCCTATTTATTACAGCACCGCAACAAACATAATTAGTTTAAATGCTAATGGTTTGTTTGGTATAAGAGGGGCTATAGAGATTAAGGAAGGAAAAAAAATTAGACAATCTTGTTACAATTGTTTAGCTTTCGTACATAATCTTTTTATTCAGCTTAAAAAATTGGGCACTTGAAATTTATGGTTATCATTAACTATTAGAGGTTGTTCATTTACCCTCAAGACGAATACACATTCACGACGATTGGCAATATTGATACATTTTGCTGCTGTGGTTAGATGAACACATTTACAACGTTCAATTCTTAACAGCCTGTAGGAAAAAAAAAGTATCCAGTGTGTATTCAAATACTCTCAAATATATCGAATTAAAGATAATTCATGCACAGCAATTAAAAATGGAAACATATAATCATAGATTACATGTATAGTCAATTATAATCTTAATGATTCGTAGCATATCTAGCATAGACCATATTGTTATCACATCATAGCTAGAAAGTCATCATAAAAATGCACCAATGGTAACAAGCTATCAAAAAAATGTATCCGAATTCTCACAATAATGATGAGTTCGGATTTCTTAAGGAAGGTTAACCAAATGAGTATCTTGCTCACGGCTTCCAGAACAATAGTTGCATCAGAGCATCTATAGAGTGTTACATATCTCAATTGTGCTAAAATGTAAATAGATTTATGGCAATTCACAGCCTGCCAATATCAAATAGCCAAGAGATCAAGAGGTTGCTTGCACTGGCATTATTGAATTTTACTTGGAACGTGTATGTACAAAAGGAAGATATAAAACCCGGTGAAAATATTCATGAAAAATGTTCTGCTAAAATAAGTAAGAAAAGAAGGGCAGATGGACAGTGACATACAAGTAAAAAAAAATCACCTTTACAGAAGAGCTTTTGAAATCAGATGCTTGCTTAACATATGATGACTTAGAGATCCCCTCAGTGAAGCTTGGACCTTTAGCACTGTTTAAGGTCTTTGCTGGACTTGTGTTGACATCAATCATTCAAACAACCTAATCTAAGGCACTGGTTGGCCCATCAAATAATTTTATACTGATGAAAACGTTATATATACAAACTATTTCCCCAGTGAAATCCTTAAATTCCCTGGCTACTCCCAACACCCTTTTTTTTCTCAAGTAACTAAAGAGGCAAATGGCTTTCATTTATAAAACTCTAATATTTTAAAAAATCATAGGTATGCTAAAAAAGAAAAGTATACAGATTTTGTGGCAATGCGTAACAATCTTAGATTTTATAAACTCACACATGGTCGACTGATCAATAAATTGAGTTTAATACTGAACATTTTAGAGTAAAATGCAAAGTTTTGAAATTGAATGAAATATATAGACCATACCAACAACCCAAAGAACAAAGCCAACCATTGAAGATAAAGTTAGGAATTTTTCTGGCCAACAACATCAAGATACTTGAATGTATTGTAACAGAGATGAGTACATGGTTAACAAGTAAAAGATGGGACAGAGAGGAACATATCAAAATTACTTCAACATCTTAGGTTAACAAAAGGAGTTGTGCATTCAGAAAGAGAATCCTCAGTATATAGATTTATGCTTGACCGCTCAAAACTGATAGAATGATTGAATACATAGAGAGTCCATGGAATAAGACCTAGCAAATGAAATGAAATAATTCAAATAGAAATTTTCAAGAAATAAAGAGATAAACAACATTTCAATGCAAATGATAATGACTCCTCTCAAACGATTCAAGCTAAATCCACCAATTAACACCAAAACTTGCAAAAGAATGATATTCCAACTTGATCTTACTGATAACTTGCTTACCCAAAAATAGATAGGAAATAGTAAGACCACATAACTAAAATTCATTACCAGTGATCAGATAAATCTAAGTGCTTTCTAGTTCAACAACAACATGGCGAGTAAATTTTATGTTTTAAGATGTACTTACAAACTCCAGCCCACCTAAAATAGGAAAGATATAAAGAAGTATTGCTGAATCCGAAATACAGGAGCTGATGGAAATCTATAATGTTGAATAAAAAAAGAATCAAAATAAAAACATAAAAGAAGGAAAAAAATATAACATTAAGGATTTAAGATATTATTCAAGAAGTTTATAAACACTAAATAACAAGGGTAAGAAAGTTGTTATGTTAATTAAATCCTCATAATGATATACAAACATATAAAGACCCGAAAGTTAGTTTCTTAATTGAGCTTCAATAAATGTCCTCGTTAAAAAATTTCAATTGAACCCCCAAAATTTTTTACAATATGATATCTAAACAATCTATAATAAATTGACAATCAGATTGATATATAGAAGACAGTAGACATTTTCATAACTTGATTTTATGGTTGTCAACATACCCTTCAAAAAAATTTTATGATGCGCCATGTGTTTGTCATGAGAATGAAATTAATCTTCAAACTATTTCTCATGATTCATTTATTCAACTGAATTTTTGTTCATGTTTACTGTTGTTTCAGATGTCATCTTCTAACAGAACACTTCTAATATTTTAAATCTAAACTTAGTGCATACTTAATTAGTTGACCATAGCATTAAATCTATTTATTGTGCATGGGATTTGTCAGCATGGTAAGAATGCTCAAAATCTTATTTGTCATTTGCCTACGATGCCGCAATTAGAAGTTTTCTTTCTTTAGGTCCCACTGCAATTCCATTGCTTTCATATGCTTCATTTATGGATTTCAAAAGCTTTAAATGTTCCATTTCTTATCAAATCCTTTTTTGTTAAAGATTATCTCAAACATGGTAGCTTTCTTTCACCAAGTGTGGTTAGATGTATCTCATCACCACGTTGCTAACTTATTTTTTAGACATAAAGTTTAGATCAACTGAGGTAAACTATTTATAATTACATTAAGATAAGCACACTGACTTCTTCCGGATCGAATAAATACATCAATTAATTTCTCTCTTTCTATGAAAGGATGTCATAGGCAGAATTAAATTTCCAAAACAAAGGGGCTTGAAATGCCACTCGAACCTAGAGCTAGCCGGTTCTCCACGAAGTGCTTGAGGTGCAGCAGTGGACTGGACATCAAGGGTAAAGCACGATTTTGGCGCAGGCCACGATGTGCAACATAATTAATTCAGTGAGTTCCATAAAACATAAAAAAATGCACTTCTATTCCAAAACAAAAAAGGACAGTTATGAAAATGCTTGTGTTTGACAAATAGAAGCAAAAGACCTATCAACCCAAAGATGAATAGTACACTATTAAGGTAACAACAATATAGAATAGTAAGCCAAAAATGTAGATTCTACCTACTTAAATGAAGCCTTGATAAATTCATATGTGATGATCATTTTCACAATCAAAGTAGCAAACAACTAATTCAAAATAGTTCATAATTCTCCATTAAGATAGGAATGCATTGATCAAAACTGTGGAAATCTCCACTCCCCTCGATAACTTCATGGTATTTTAGCATAGTCAAGAGGGATATATGCCGAATACAAAAATTCCTTACGAGTCTAGTTATAGCCCACATTCCCGGTAATACAATAGTAAAAACTCTAGCTTTTCAACTTCTGATAACTCCAAAAGTGCGGAATTCATCTTCAAGTTGTCATTCAGTTTCTCAGGATCCAAGTTTCCAACATACACCCAAGACATCTTTAAAAAACACCCTTCTAAAGCAGATCAATTTAACGTTTTCCATTTATATATTCTAATTTTCAAATCAAGTGACTCAAAATCGAACATATATTGCATAAAATAACAATAAATAAAATCCAAAGGAATGAGGAAGAAATTATTTTTAGCAAATCGAAAAGAAAAAATAAAGAACCTCACGCAATCAATAGAGATTTAACCTTTCAACCTCCAAACTACAAAAGAACCCCAAATAACCTAATAGGCCTTTTCAGACTTAGCCTAGCACACCAAAACCATCTCCCCTACCCACAGAACATGCTGTCGACTGCTTCTATTTTTCGGCTGAACCACAACAACCAACGTCGTCGTCGGTTACACCACCTTTGACCCATCGATTCTACCTCCATTCCAACTCTAAACCACCAACATCTCGTCCCTTCGCTGCTCTATGCTTTCTACCTCCACAACACCAACACCTTCATCTTGAAATAGCCATGAAATAATTCGTACGCGCAGAAATGTGAGGCAAAGATTAAGGCATATGTCCAAATCCCTTTTTTCTTAGACGAATTGGAAATTGTCAGCATGAGGGAAGGTTTCGTTTAGGCTTATAGACATTGCATTTAATGTTATCCCGTTTGTGAACAGTATCTAACCAGTTAAGTGTGAAAACGAGTGTGCATAAATAGTGAATCCCTTATTCCCTTTTTTATAGTAGTGATGATGAGATGAGATAATTTAGGAATCATTCTTCTATGGTATAAATCTTGACGAGTGATCCAATGTTTCATTATGATTTTGATTAGCGGTTCTGAATTTAAGTTGATTTTATTCACAATAAAGCTACTTGACCAGACTGAAATCCAGGCTTGAGTACAGGGATTTGAAAACTCAAATTTATCATGCGTTTTGGAGGGAATACAGGGATTGCTAATATTGGCTTTGGAGGGAATTTAAGGCATAAATAGCAATTATTCTACCCACTACAGTTTTCTTTTGGCTGAATGAAAAGAAGCATATCAAAACTCCCATTTTCTCAAATCTTCATCTTCACGACCGTCATCCAACATCTTCATAATCACATTTGGCAATAAAATATCAGCCTGGACTTCAGGTGAATGTTCAAGGAAACCCGTTAT